AATCTACATTTTCCTTCCTAGAGCCAACAGTTCCCATTGAGGCTGCTGAGTTACTATAAGTAATTAGAAGTCATTATTCAGGACCCACACTTTTTTTTTTTTTTATCATGGTAGATTACTGTAGCTGACAGGGTAAGGGAAGGTAAGGTGGATTCTTTGCCTAGGATGAAGAAGAAAAAAACCCTTCTTTTCCTTAAGAGGAAACATTATCATTCTCTCTCAGCTAGATTACAGATAAAGTAGCCTGTAATGTGTATACTGGAAATAGAAGTACTAAATGATGGTATCATTACCTCTATAAGCTCTATCTGTGAAAACTTCATGTGATAGAAATTATTAGCTAACTCAATTTAGGATTTAAAATAAAATTTTTTTTGGAACCGGGGATCGAACTCGGGTCCTTGTGCTTGCGCAGCAGGCAGCAAAACCACTGAGTTAAATCTCGGGCCCAAATAATGGCTTTTTTTTTTTTGGTACTGGGGATCGAACCTGGGTCCTCAGCTTTTGAGGCAGGTGGTGGAACCACTGAGCTAAATCCCCAGCCCTAAAATAAATTTATATTATGGATTGATTTTGTAATTATACAGTTATAATTTACATCATAAATATGGGATTATAGTAAATGAACTCTAAAACTCCTCTAACACATTGGAATCCATTCTTTGAAACTGTAAAGTTTCATTTGAAATTGTATTGATAACTTATATGTATCAGACTCTTAGAAACTATTACCAGATATGGAAAAGATAAATTATAGACGTATAAATGAGAAGCGAAAAGATAAAAAACTACATTACTTGGAGGAGAAAAAGCAGGTTAATTAACCTGCTTCATTAATGTAGTCAACAAACAAAAGAAAGTAAAGGTGATTATAACCCGGTAGTTTAAAGTTTGTATGATAAATTCCCTTTCCAGTAGCAGATACTCCTGTGAGGGAAGCAGTCAGCAACAGGCTATGTGCTTCTGGCTATGTCTCAAGGTGTGTCTGCTTCTACTCAACGTGAAGAAAAAGATGACACATCTACATTTGAATCTAGCTTACTGGTGTGTGTCCAAGATTCACATCTGCTCTGCGCAGTTCCCATTTACAACTCCTTGAAGTTCTGTCACAACTCTTCAGGTTTTCAGGGAATGACTGTTTTTTCCAATTCCTATCTGTCCAGGGGGAACCAAAGATAGCTTTGGGCCTAAAAGTTGAAAATTCCACCATTTTTTTTTTTTAAATCTTAGGAGGTCGTTTAGTTTACTATCAGATAGGAGCGGCATTTAAAAAGTTTAGTGGGTGAAGTCCCTGTAAGGTTTACTGACATAATGTGTTTTTATTATTTGATCTTGTAATTTGGAGCTTCTGTCTCACTAGGTCAATCTTAGGTAAACCCACCACACTACAGGTCATGTGATCCAGCCCGGGCGAGTAGGAGAGGCACTGGACATTTTCCTCTCCAAACAGGAGTGGGGTGGGAGTCAGGCAACTTCTATTCTAAGCTGTCCCCCTCGAGGGCTGCCTGTACAGTCACTCATAAAAGCTTACCTTTACTATAGCCATTTTTACCTTTAGTTCTTTTTTCAGGGGTCAGTGGAAGAGACCATAAAATTTTTTAATTTTTAAAATTTTTCTTCCTCTCACCTTCTCTAGTAGTAGGTGATGGTAACCAAAGAACTAAAGAGCATTCTGGAAATGTGTTGTTCCAACTTCTACAATTTTCTGCAACTCAGGAAGACTGGAAACAAGCGAGGTCTATGTGTGTAGAAGCAGGAAGGGATGAGCTGGGTCTGCTGCTTAGTCATGCTCCCCTGACACGTGCATGATGGGATTCTGGGAGGAGCCCTGTCCTCTTTGGCAGAAAAAGGGACAGCTGGGGAGTGAGGGAAAGACAAGTGGATTCAGAAGAGAGGAAGAGCCAGTGTTCTCTACAGCAGGACTCTCCAACCCTCCAGGGCTTTGTGAATCTACTCGTGGTATGAACCTCAGGATACTCATCACTCCTTCCAAAAAACAAACAGAAGACTTTCTTGTTTTAATCCTCAAAAAGTTGTTACAGACTCTCCGTATTCTCCTTTGGTCAATGATACACAATGTTTTAATACTTATGTAAGAATATTGCATTCTTTTCTGGCTATATTCTTACTTTGTACTGGAAATATATGTGAGATTTTTTTTTTCTCTTTTACAAGCTCTGGCCTCAACTCATCACCAAAACAGCAAAGAGACTTTTTATTATATTTGTGACTTTTGCCATGATTCACTATCCATACAAATAGCCTAGTTGCTATAGAAACATAAGTATTAGAAAGCGGGCAGCAACTGGTGGCACAGGAGAAAGACATAAATAAAGTGGGGGAAATAAACCAGGGTATAGTGAAAGTGGCAATAAAACTTTTATTCTCAGTTACTTGGTAAGACCTTTACATCTAATATGACCATATCAAATTTAAGCAATAAAAAAAAAAAGAAATTCTCAATTTTTTTTAGCATTTGGAATCCTATCATTATTGTTTTTAGGTCTTTCTGAGGTAGAAATAAAAGTACATAGCATTTGGGGCTTTATTGTTTGACTAAAGTATAAAATTATGATCTCCTGAGCCATATTTATAAGCACTCTGTTACATACATTGTTAGTGGTGCTCTGGTTTGGCAAACATGAATGAGAAATGTCTCAAACCTCATTTCTGTTTATATTTCTACTATATTGGAGAATGATGTGCTGATTCAAGAAAAAATTTATGAGTTGGTTGTAGGCATCAATGACAGTGTGGTCTCAGCTTTGTTTCCTAATACAAAATTCAAGATGTGCAAACATCAACTTGCCATAGCCAAACATATTACCATCCATTTGTATTCACTAACAGCCTTAATCAACACAGCAGTTCTTACCCAACACAAACAAATGGTTAGCCTTTGAAGAAATACAAAATTAATGAATTCATTTTAATTACTCTCTCCCGCTGAGGGCTGTTAGCCTGTTTCTGTCAATGAGGAGTGTTACAGTGAAACCATTATATGTAAAAAATTCCTGAAGGCTTAAATGAAAGCCTCAAGACCTATGTCATGTCAAAAAGTAACCACTGTAGAAAATGCTTAAATTTGGTAGTAATGTCACAGGGGACAATTCATATTGATGTATATAATAGTTAAACTATGCAAAGTAGCTAACTAATAGTGTTTATGGTTCACTAGATATTGTTTTAGCAAATGTGTGTGGACACAAAATCTCATATAATTTTTACAGTTACTTAGTGAGGTAAGTCTTGTAATTATCCCCATTTTTAGCCAAGGCACAGGGAGCTGAAGAAACCTGTCAAGATCCTACAGTTAGAACATGATGATGCTAGTATAACAGGCCTGCTTGCTCTAGTGTCTACCAGTGATGGTGAACCTTTTAGAGCTTGCAATGATAAAAACAGCCTGCTGTGGCATGTGTGCCATAGGTTTGCCACCACTAGCAGGCTCATAACCACTTCACTATGTTGCCCTCAACTAGTTTCCTCCAAGAGTAAATAATTTATTTTAGTCTCAGCTAAGAAATGAGTGGGACCTTAGATGCTCTTTGTTCAATAAACTTACTTTTCCTTTTATTTAATTTCAAATTTGTCATTTTCATTTACTAAAGTTGACAAATTTCCTTATATTCAAAAGGACAGGTAAATCAAAGTCATGTGTACACCACAAAGCTCTATCATTTGTTATGTTTTTTTTTGGGTAAAGAAGCCCACAGGTTCTTGTAACATAATGAAATCACTTCCCAGTGTGGGTGACAGATGATGTTCCACAGGGTTGGTGGCACTGATGGGACTGGTAAGAGATCCTCTAGAGTCAACGAATCTCTGGCAAACAAGCTGAAGAGCCAAAACACATGACCACTCCTCCCACAAGAATATTCTCTTGTAAATACCAGCCTGGATGCATCTGGGTTTGGTTTTATTTAGGAAACTTTGAGTGTTCCTTATTTCTTCATTTCCCCAGGAAAGGAAGAGAAGAGACCCCCCCCCCCCATCTTCTTTGGTTTCTTTAAAACAATCACCATCACAGCCACCAAAAAAGATACAGTGCAAGACATACTCACACCCCTCTAAACAAGGCTCACATCTGGTTGGAAAGGTAGGCGTTCTCTTCGCCTCAAAGTTATGTGTGTATGATGAGGCTCATGATCTTCCTCAACAGAAACATACAGTGTAGGAGTGATTTGTGTTTCTTCCCTGGTAAGGGGCTCAATCAGCTTTCTCTTTGTACATATACTCAGCTACCTGAAAGCAACTACTCAACTCCATCTTCTCCATTTTGCTTAGTCTATATTGTTCTTGGCTTTTCCAGAAAATAATATTTTCAGGAATAATAGCTGAAGTTCCTAGACTTTAGGATGCTTGCTATAAGTATGAGTATTCTTCTATCCTTCTGAATCAACTGCAGGGAGTAATAATAAATATAGGTGAGAGAGGTGTTCTTGGGGGAGTACATTCATGAAGAAGTAATGGAAATTTGGGGAATGGGATATAATTTGAAAGGAATGTTCAAACTAATCATTGCTTTTTTGGGAGAGGCCAGGAAATATAACAGTATGAAATTTATAACATTAAATAAATGCATGAGATTCATATACATTTATCAAAAGAGGGGCAGAGTTTGCATATAATTGTTTTAGAGGGAATAAGAAACTAAAAACAAAGATTTCATGTTCAAATATAAAGGATATAAAGGAGTCTTAAAAGAAAAAACATATCTTTATGTTATGACATCAGAAGAGCAAGAAAAAAAAATCTCAAAAAAATGTTGTAGCCAAGTATTATGAACTAATTCAATGTGAACTTATATTCAATGCAATCTATCATTTAGATTAGGGTATCAGGTCATGGTCTTTGGCCCCGAGTTGTTGGCTACTTAGCATTTGCCTGTTCATTTAAGTTCTTGAAATACTCTTTCCGTAAATTCTAGTATGTCAGACTTTGATGCCTACACCTTTTCTGCTGCCCAAATGACTAAAATTTGGTAATGTTTTACTTACGAGAGCTTTTGAAGTCTTTCTTTTTCAGTCTCCTCCTCATCATGGTTCCACGTGGGCTAGTGGAGTAGAGGCTTCGAGGTAAAGTCCCCAAGTTCAGAGAGCTCAGGCTGTATGCACTCATGGAGGTAGGAGAGAAGGATGAAGACACCAGAGCTGCTGTAAGAGAGTAAAGACTTGGCACAGAGCACTCACAGGTGGGCATGAGCCTGCCACCCTTGCCAACCAGTAACGATCCAGAAAGACACACAGGACACAGAGTGATGGTTAGTAGCTACTCCAGCCAGACAGAGAGCAGGCCTCAGGAGCAGTGCTCTAGAATCTCAGAGTTGCAAGCATCTGTAAGTACTGAGGAACAGTGGGATCCTCAGAAGCACACAGGGACACAAAGACTCTGAAATTTGCTTTAGACAAAATACCCAGACATTAAAACAAGTTTTTCTCCGTAAAAAACAACTCAATGCTTCAAATACTTAATCTCATTTTCACAGTTTCTAACATAAATTTCATAAGTGATTTCACATGCACAAAGATCTGTACTATTCTGAACTGTTATTTCCTGCAACACATATTACAGATTTTAAATATTTACACCCTTTCTTAAGGACAAATGCTTTCTAATGAAATAGAAAGACTTAGGAGATGTCAGAAATGACATGTTGCATATTACAAAAGAAGAAAAAGCACACAACACCCATGAAGCCAAAGATGAAATGAAACAGAGGAGGAAGGACTGAGAGCAGCATAAGCAGAAGAGCGAGACGAGAAAGCCGGGAACATTACGAGGGCTGTTTGGAGGAGGCGCTTTCGGGAAAGTCAGGGCGGGCACGCTGCAATGGTCAGGGTGGTGTGCATTATAGTGATGGCTGGGGTGAAGGCTGCACTGGTTGCTGGCCCAGGCGTCCCAGGGAAGTTGCCTGTCGCTTCTCTGAATTTTCACTGCCCACATGAAGTGATGATGAGAAATAAGAAAAACAAACACAGAACCAAAAAAAAAAAAAAAAAAAAAAAAAAAAATCGCACAAAGTAAAAAAAGTAACAAAAATGAAAGCTGCTTGCAAAGAAAAAAATTTATTTGGCTTTCTCCCTTTTCTCAGCGGTCAGCAAAACAGATGATTAACATCAGTGACATGGAAACTTTTCATCATCCCAAGAATAATGCGTGCCTTTCCTCATCCCATTTTTTCTCATTTTAAGATGACTATTGAATCAATTTCTAATCTTCTCCTGTGCTTCACACCAGAGATTAAAAACATTTTTTTAACTTAAAAGTCAGTCTCATAAAGATCTATGGCACATGATTAGTAATTAAAGATTTGCAAATCCTGACTAGCTAGTAGCACTTGTTTAGAGAAAAAGAAAAGATGGAACAATAAATCACATTGGTTCATGATTCCTGTGGCCAACTAGTCACACTTCACAATTTATTGTTCTGACATTTTAATTGTACTACAATCCATCACTTGAACTTGATTTTCCTCAACAATAAACCACTTTAATCATCTATCAGCACCAGAATCTTACTTGTATCCTGATTAATAAGGGCAAAAGTCTCAATATATTTTGACTTTTTTGGAAAAAGCATATTTCACTAAAAATATTTAATTCTTAAATTACTTCACATGTTCTCATATTCCCTTAAGGTAGCATAAAAATTTAATGAGAATTATTTCCAAGTTTTCATGTCCCTTTTATTTTTTAAAAATATAGATCATGTTTCCATTGTAATTTCAATGTTAAAATTTGATTTTCTAAACAGTGTTCTGAAATGTGAATCATATTTTGTACTATTCCTGACAGAATAATCTGAAGGAGTTAAAAATAACTATAAATGTTTGTTTCCTGCTTTTATGATTCTAATGTTAGTCCATGTGAATTACTGTCAAATAATTCACATGGACTCAAATACTATGTATGTATGAAGAGGAGGGCTATTTAGATACAAGTTGTACCTTCCATGAAATAGGCTTCATTGGCCTTTCTCCTCCTCTCTGGAGTGAGACACTACATGGAATGAAAACCCTAGCAGGGGATGCCACCCTGGAGTGAGGCAGACCTGGGCTTCAGTTCTACTTTCAGGCCTTACTCTTTGTATGACCCTGGCCAGGTACTCAGCCGATTCCAGCCTCAGTTTCCTTACATGTCAGCTGGAGGGTATGAAAGCATCTACTCTGCAGGACTGCTGTGAGAGTTATGCATGGAAGGAGCTCAGCATGATGCTGGTCCACAGAATAAAAACAAATGAGCTATGAGTAATAATATTGATTCTGCCAACTGTTCTACCTACCAATGGAAAATAAAGTGCCTTTTAAAGGAAATAGCGGTGTCTCTCACTCAATGAATTTCAATCACTAGGGACTCAAGTTTTAGGGGATCTGTCAGAAATCTCAGAAGAACACGTTCAGAGCCACTGTAATTTTATAGTCCTAAATCAATTGCCCCTTTCTTCTATCCCACTGTGCTTTCTGGTTGGACTCCTCTCTCCATCTTCTCTGTCCTAGTTCAGGCCACCATCACTTTCATCTAGACCACTAAAACACTCATGGACTAGGCTCCCTGATTCATATCCTTCACACCTGCTTTCAGGTATTCACACACAGCTAGGGTGATTTTTTAAATACAAGGTTAGATAGTATCACACTTGTTTAAATTGCTTACCATTAAAAAGAATAAAGAGTACAGTCCCTACACATCTCTTTATCTCCACGTGTGTCACTCTCCTCAACATTCATTTTTTAGCCACTCAGGTTTTTTGCCTGCCCTTAGAACATGCCAGGCCTCCTTTCTGCTCCAGTGCCTTTGCACTTGTGATTCTTTCTCCAATTGTATGGCTGGCTTCTTCTCATCAGTCAGGTCTCAGCTCAGGTGCCACCTCCTTAGAGAAGTTGCTGCTGACCTCCTGACTGAAGTGCTGCCTCGCCCATGTCATCACCTGCTGTTTTATATTCTTCATAGCACTTAATACTGAAATAGTTTTATCTTTGTAATATATTTGTAATGTTTATCTCTTTATACTGGGATGTACATTCTATAAAGATATGAATTATTCTGCCTGTCTCGCTCACTAGATATATCCTAACAACTAGCACAGTGCCTGAAATATAATGACTGATGAAGTAATGAATCAATAAATGAACCCAAGAATGAACAAGAATATCATTCAGAGTGTCCACATCCATACTGTGGCAGCATTTTCCTTTAGATCAAAGACTATTCCAGAGAAGTCCTTAGTGGATTCTCTTTCATCGTTTTTTACTTTGCGGGTATATGAGGCTACTTTTTAGCAAGATGCAGTTACTGGTGGGTCTGACTAATGTACAATCACAGCTGCTCTGTCTACTCTTAACAAAGCAGTTCTTCTGTATTTCAAATGAAGCTGGAGTGCAGTGAATGGACTTCAGAATTTAACGCCCACCTTTTTGATCAAGTTCTTTATTCAGTATTTTGAAAATGGGGCCTTTATTAGTAATGTCAAGCCCAATTAAGAAAGAAAGAAGATATTATTGAGCACTTATTGTATGCCTTGCACTGCACCATCTATAAGCAGGTTAAGTGCAGGTGATGGCCTGACAGTGATGGTGGCCTGAACTAGAGCAGCAGAGAGAGAAACCAAACCAGAGAGGGCAGTGGGATAGTAGGAAAAGACCAGATGGTTTAGGACTATAAACTTTCCCTTGACTTTGAACTATTATTAGAAACTAAATCTTCACACATGTGAAATAATTAAGAGACCAAAAAAATGATGTAAGATGATGCACAAAATTGCATGTCATGTATAATGAATGCAAAAGGTCTTCAACAAATAATGTAGGGCAGAGAAAAGAGTTACTGTCTCTTTGAATGTACCCTCCAAATCTGTTGTTTTACAGTGGTCTACTTGATACTCATATACTAGGTATCAGGAGTTTAATAAAAAGATGGTACATTTTTCCCATGCTCTTTCATTTTGTAAAGAACATTAAGAGGCATTCTCTAATTGTGCAATAGTGACAGCCTACTTCCGTGGAGTCCTTACTACATTCCAGTCACTGTGCCAAGTGCTTTTTCATGGATTAGCTCAGATAATGATCACAATATTCCTGTGAGGCAGCTCTTATTTTAACCTCTACCTTACAGATAAAGAACTTGAGGTACAAGAAATTTGTGTGACTTGGTTAGGGTCCTGAGTGGAGGAGCACCATTAAAGCTCTGGATATCTGTTCTAGAGTCCCCACCCTCAGCCATCATGCTACACTGCCTCTTCCCACAGGTGTACTTAATTCCCCTCCCTGTTTCAGAGAAGTAAACAGAAAGTTTAAAACACAGTGCTTCCCACATTGTTTGTTGGTGACATCACTATTGCAGTCCTAAGAAGTATGTGACATAGAAGATGCTGTCTTTATTTTTCCCCTCTCATTGGATCTGCTTGTTCTGCCCAGGACAACCAAGAAAACTAGTGAAAGCAGCTTTCATGGCTTGGCCTGAAGCTCACAGAGGGGAACGTCCTCCTGATACTGAATGTATCAAACCTAGTGACTCTGGTCACATTATCTTTTGAAAAGTCTCAGTTTCCTTCAATCACAATTATATTTCTCAACAGTCCACAGTAGAAACAATTTTTAACTTCACTGAAAACTTTTATTTTTCTTTCTCCCTCCCTTCCTTCTTTTTTTCCTTACTCTCTAGGTGCTAGGGAAAGAATCTAGGACCTCGTGAGTGCTAGGCAAGCACTCTACCCCTGAGCTACATTCGCAGCCCTGAAAACTTATTTTTTAGCTTAATGTTGCCTCCTACCATTAAAAGCAACCAATGATTTTGACATTACTCTGAAAACATTGTGAATGCTTTGCTGCTATCAAAATTTGGGAAATATGTCTCCATCTACCCTTGGGCTTAGAGAAACACTATTCAGGCATCAGAGATCTTGAAAAAAACAACCAGAAATTTCTTGTGGAAAAAAGGTAAATTATGTCAAACTCCACTAAACAAAAATAGAAGTTTTAGAATTGCAAACACAACGAAACAATGTGTTTGTATTATTTTTCCTTCTTGATTATGATTTAATTATGCTTAGGAGTCAGTATTTATTTCCTTTTGCAAATGCAAGTCTGATTTTACTGTAAAATGCAGAGGTTATGTCTGTAAGCGTAAGGAAGATGATAAATTATTTTTAGCAATAGTTTATGATGGGATCAGAAGCGAGAGTTACTTAAACTGTCAGCCTCCTACCTCGCACATATAAATAACATCAAGTTTTATAGTGAAGAAAACGTGCTTTTCCATACATTTTAGTATTTAAATTCAGTTTTTAAACTGTCTTGGCAAATAAATGTTTAATATTTCAAATTGGAAACTATTTATGATAGGTACACAGGGCAAATCAAAGTTAAATAAATGAAGCTGCAAAAGGGAGTAACATTTTTCAAGGGTATGCTACACATTCCCAATTCACTGATATCAGAATTTAGCAAGCAAAATACTATGCTGAAAGAGTACTACACAGAGTTCTTCTTATATCTTCTGTGCTTCAAATCCAAAGGTGACTTCAGGTTAATTTAGAAGAAACTTAAACAGTTTTAGGAACTTCTCAGCCAGTGTGTAGGAAAGGCCTGTAGGGGCTACTGGTGGGAACACTCATATTTCCATGGACGTCACCTTCCCTGAGTTCCTTAGCATTGCTATTCAACTGATGCTGATTTTCCTTTCTAGCCTATGCTGCATCGTTTCTCTACTCCAATGTGTAAAATTAAAATCCAATAAGGGTGACATTGTACTAGAGATTTTCATTAGCTCCAGGGCTAAGTTCCATTTAATTAAAAAGGTTGCATTCAGCTGACTCCTTCAGTATGAGAATTATCTGCCCCCACTTTCATTTTTCTAGCTTCAGAGAAGGGCAGTGCAGTTTAGATGTGGGAAACACATAATAAAAATGATCTCCTCACAAGAAAAACTTCAATATTAAAGGACACTATGCTCTCTCTAAATATACAAAAACGCATTGTCTCTTTTTTAGGCTACACATGCCGATACTAGGGAGGCTTCCTGTAAAAGGAATAACTAAGGAGAGTATTTGGTTTAAGGAACAAGAAGACTTGGAACAAAAAACCTCACTGGAGAGCCTGACTTCATTTGATTTGGGGCTCAAAGTCCCTTTTCTTATAACAGGTTTTGTTTAAACATGCCCAGGTGGATGGTATATAAATTCTCTGCAGACATATCTCTGAACTTTAGAGAAGTGAAAATGCAGCTTCCCTCAGTGACATTTTTAAACTGAATATATGGAGTAAGAAATTTTGATTGTCTCTGGAAAACAGACTAAATATAAAGAAAGTCAGCCTTTCATACAACTAGGCGTTTCATACTAAACATTTGAAAGGTCTGTTATTAACATCAATTTTGTTTAAAAAACTAAATTTACTACTTGTCTCAATTATCATTCATGAAGACTGGAAATCAAATACCAGGAAATCAAATTATTTCTCTTCTTGTCTCTCTTACTTTGCACCAGACTTTTAAAAAATAATAATGATGAAGAGTACTAGCCTACTCAAATAGTAGTTCTTTCTTCAATTTTGGGGTTTCCACTAAATTATGTGTGGCTTGGGAAAAGGGATTTGGATGATGAGACAGAGTAAACAAAGATAACTTGTTGCTTTGAAAAGAAATGATAAAGGCAGAATTAAACTCAGTATTCCTCTGCTTTCCAACTTTCTGGATGAGGCAACAACTGTAAGAGCAAGAGAAAGAGATTTATCCGAAGAGCTCCTCTCACCATGGTCAGGTCCCTTCAGGGCCAGGCGGGTCTGATGGTGGGGAAGAATCTCAAGCTTGACCTGGTCCATGGTGTTCGCCAGGAACTGGGTTGCTTCTGCTAGTGTACAGTACTCCATGCTGGTGCCATCGATGGAGAGGATGTGATCCCCCACATGCAATGCACCACATCTAAGGAAGAAAAAACACAGGATAGTGAGGTGTCTTCCTCTTTGGAACTCGACTTTCATGTCCTTCAAAGAATTTCACACAGTTTTCATTTACTTCAAAAAAAAGAAAAGTTTCAGTAGTATAGGAAACACCATCTGTCACGTTTTAGGTACCCGGAGTGTGCATTGTAGTGTAAAATCTCATGGAGAATATAGAAAAATGCAAAGAAATGTTTTCTCTTGTCCTTCTTGTGATAATACCATTTGGGAGTCATGGTGCTGAACACTGAAGAGAAGTGAGCAAGAGAAGAGCAAGAAAAGGAAATTTTTCCCCTTGATTTTTTTTTCTGTTTTTCTTCCTAGACTTTTCTATTAACATGAGTTGGTAAATATTCAGATTCTCAAGCCAGGGCTAACAGAATTGGAATAGGGTCATTTTTATGTGTGAATGGAGTAAGTTGGGGAAATTCAGTTACTACTTCCTCAGAATCCTTTCATATAAGCCCCCAGATCACCAGTATTTTATTTTTGTGCATGATTTTGTTATTTCAGAGTTAAACAGTTATTAGTACAAAAGCTCTCAATGACAATTAAAATTATGCAGGAGTTGAGTGAGTAATAAAACCAGGCCTGCATGGTGAGTCAAAGGGAAAGCTGGGGGTGGGGCTAGCTGCTACATCTTGCTGAACTCAAGAGACTGGCTACTGGATGAGTTGAGAAAAGCAAACACAGCAGTCAGCATCCCGACGTACCAGTCAAGTGGACAGCTCCTTAAACTGGTTACCCCCTGTGGAATGGGAAAAAACAGAGGGAGAGAATTAAAGCATCCTGCACCATTGAGCTGGAGACACCCCTGGATCGATGGCTGCCACTGCTAAATGACTGCACAGAGGGCAGGACCACCATGGAGCTGCAGACTGATCACGACCAGGGCTGCTGCAGGTCCTTGGACCACAGTCAGAGAATGTCCAGGTGGGGCGAGGGTACGTGCAGAATGGGCCAGAAGGCACAGGACAGACTGGTGGTTTGGGTACTTCTAAAAATCTCCAGTTTGAATGGTCTACTCCTCAAGATAAAAGCATTTTAAGTCATCCTTTCCATCTAAAAATATTAATCCATGTTGATTTACTTGGAGTGTTTCAGCTATGTAAACTGGGAGTTTTCTCACCAGGAGCTGCAGAATAATTTATTAGGTGGGAAGACACTCTTTTTTTTCCCTTTCCCTTTTACCTTGCAAGTCCAAAATATTAACTGGGAAAATAAATTTTATTTTTATTGTGACTTTGGAATGAATGATGTTTCAATGAATCCTTGAAGATTGTGAAACTATAATATTAATGTACTATGACAGTAGCAGGTCTGTCTTTAAAGACTGCACTATTTAAAAAATAGTGTTCTATTTATTTAAGAAAAAAAGGAACAAAATTTTATTGTAGCAGGACCTAATTGTTAACAATTCAAGAAACTCTATGACTTCTCTCCATGGGACTTAATAAAGGTCAGTTCAGCTATCCTATATCAAGAAGAGACAATTACCCCAGGACACAGTAAGAAAACTTGTTTAGCTGTTGTTTTTTTTTCTCCTATCACTAAGGGTCACACCAAACATCTGGATAAAGTGACATTACATCATGAGGTAGCTGATAACATAGGTAAAATTTTAAGCCCTACAACATTAGCTTGCTTTCCTGACACTTATGTAAAATGGCAAGACAGCTATATTTTCACTGTTTGTGTGGATATGTATGAGGTTGAGTGTATGTATTACATATGTGAGTACACACATATAATTTTTAAACACACCTGTAAGTTTGAAAAGGAGGCACTTTCTATGACACTCACCTGTCTGCAATACTTGCAGATTTGATTTTGTCTATGACAATGACCTGTTTGTTACAGCACATCGAGGTAGTTAGAGCAACCCCAAGGCTGGCACCGGGAGTTTTGGCAACTTCAACTAGCAGTGGCCCGGATGCTGTTGCCACAGTATCTGTCAAAGAACAAATTTCAGGAAATAAAACAAAGTAAAATAAACAAGCAAACAGATAAAAGAAAAAGAGAACGTTTAGTCTGATGTCAGCCTATTAATTTTATCCCTGAAACTTGGGCTTTCTTCCTTATATCATAGATTTCTTCCATATATCATCCTCACAGCCAGTGGTACCTGAGGGTACCTCTTAGGGCACCTGTTCCACCCAGTTTGCATCAAAGTAATATGTGCACATGTTAATCACTTAAATTAGATTTTAACCTTCACACCAGTTCAGGTAATGGCTTATGTATCTTTATGCCATTCACACTGCTACCATGCCTCACACATACTAGGTCTCTCAATAAATGTTTAAAATTTAATTAATCAATTCAATAAATATCTAGCACCTATTACAAATAAATAGATGGATGCCAAGGTTGATAAAGAAAGGATAGGCTGAAGAAAGGATGAAAGGGAAAAGGAAGGAAGGATAAATAGAAGAATGGATGGATGGTAATGGATGATGGATAGATGGATGATGTCTCTAATTTGTCAAAAGGGAATAGGTAAACTAAGTGGAATTTGTAAGCCCTTGGAACTTTCTCAATTCTCTATTTGATTTAGCATCACTTCCTGATCAGGAATGACTTTATATAGGCTTTAGTTTTGGCTTGGAACATTATGCATTTCTTCAACTCCTACTGACCAGTATAGATACCAGTATAAGCAATAATTCCTCTGGAAGCTTCTCCAACTCATAATTTGGTAAGATGCTCTTTACATGTGCTCCTAAAGCCTGTGTTAGTTCTTCTGTTGTAGCACACAGCTCATAATTGTCAATTTGGATTACATCTCTGTCTTTTGCCAGATTTTGAGCTTGTTTTGTAGGCAGAGACTATGTGTTGTCAACCACAGAGTTCTCAGTGCCTGCCATAATGATTAGCACACAGGAGATAAATAACAGTTGTAGAATAAATGCAAGAACAAATAAGAAAGTTCTCAATGTCTCTTAAAGCCCTAAAGAGCCTTGCAAACGAAAGGTCCTGAGTTTGATCCCCAGTACCAAAAAACAAAAATCCCAAAAGAAAGGGTTGTTATATGGAGAAGAGTCCTGGACATGGAGTTAAAACATTTGTGTTTAATTCTCATTTTCACAATACTTTGGTTTTATGGGACCTTAGACAGTTACTAAAACATTCTTAGTCCAACTGCTTACCTCTAAAATGGTATTTTTCCACAATGTTTATTACAATCAATGCAATCTATACTTAAAGCATTTTTCTATGTATGTAGAATATTATTGAGACACTATGACCTCAACTATTTGAGTCATCCCATTTTTCAAGACTACATATTGGTCTATATTTTTCTGCTTTTCTGCTGTGCTAGTGTTTGAGATTTCATTAATCAATTTTGTTTTTTCACAAGTACATCTTCATCACCAAGGCAACACGCAGAGAGAGTGAACCGGGAAATCTGTTTTTCTATGGCTGAAGCTAAGGTGGTATGCACTGATTCATGAAGATGAATGGTCTATGTGAGAGGGCTCTCTTCAGTTTGAGATAAAACAAGGTGTTTCTTCAATAAGGTAAAGATGAGAACACACATGGCAACCACATACATATTTCAGTGCTACAGATCTTGTACATGTTGTGTTTCCTATAATATTGAAATAACTTAGTCCTAAAGAAGGGAACATTATAACCTGTATCATTTCCTATCAGTTCCAGTGCAGAGTCTCATTAATATAAGCTGGGAGGAACCATATCGTAACATAACCAGAGGGACTTCTGGTTCTTAGGTGATATGGCTGTTCATCCCAGAGCCTGTGGTTAATTCACTCACAAGCCGAACTCTTTGGTGGTGGTTACTCTCTGGTTTTGTTCACCTTGTTGTATTAAGTGCCCTGGCCTCCTGACATCAGTCTAGGGCCAATGACATAACCTTGCTTTTCTCTCTGCTTCTCCATTACCTGCTTTGTTTCTGTCTAGAGCCTCATGTGGTCAGGGTGCTGCCCAGGGTCCTCCTTACTCTCACCCTGGAGTCTATACTGAGTGGCCCCTGTGCTATATGCAACAATGGTTTGCAATGCATCTGCCTTGATTGGGTTTCCCAGTAAAGAATTTTGGTTAGTCCCCAAAGGCTTTGCTTTAGTTGTGCCTATCTCTCAATTCTGACAGACAGTTGTCTGCTGCTGAGGCAGGCACACCCTTGATGCCTCTATTTTCCCCATGGCTGGCTGTCCTCATCCTGAGCAAGCACCTGGGCAGCCTGTACTGCTCTGGTCAAGCCTCTCATGACCTCTAACCCAGCAGGCACTTTTATCACATTATGTTTCTGGAACTTTAAAATGACCAACTTTTTATTTCTCAGAATTCTTCCTATAGTATTATTGGATTTTAACAGATTTGTGAGATGACAATCAGTTATGTTTTTCCTCATGGTTCTCAGTAAGTTTGTTTTGCTTAGCAGATGAATGTAATAAAGTTTCCATAGTAATTATCACCAAATGTCTTGATCTTTCCATTTGATACCTCAAACCGAAAATTCTGCAACATGAAACTTCGTTTTCATTTACAAAATTATTTAAAATATTGCATAAAATCACCTTCAGCTATGTGTATAAGGTATATATGAAACATGAATAGATTTCATGTTTATACTTGGGTCTCACCCACAAAATATGTCATTATGTACATGCAAATATTCTAAAATCTGAAAAAATTCCAAATCTAAGACATTTTGGGTCACAAGCATTTTGAATAAGGAATACCCAGCCTTTATTATGATTAAGTGTCAGAGTATTTAAGGAGGTCATCAAGCTATTCCTTTTTCCTGACTGCCAGATGTGTCAAAGTATAGAAACTTGTATTTTTGTATGATTTTAATGATTCAAATATAGTGAAGAATTAATATTAAATTTTTCTTTTAGAAAGAAAGATAGGAGCAAGGATATAAAGAAATTGAGGGAAAAGATTCCAGATCTTTTGCCACCATTGCTTTAGAGGGGAGGGAGATGCCTCAGTCAATGGAAACTGGAGTAGGTGTCTCTCTTTCCTATTAAGGCATTAAAGGAATAGTAAGTGCAGTACTTTTGCATGGGGAAGCAAGTGTGCAATTAATAAGTTCTCTTAAATTTAAAGTAGAAAGCTTCAGAATTCCCAGAAAAGTAAAATTTAATGTCATATTTAAGGAAAGAGACTGTGCGGCTCAGGGCCGGAGGCCTGGAAGGTGGTCCTTACTATGCCACCAACTTGTCATGTGACTCAATACCAGTAGAAGATCCCTCTCTCTGAGAAGCAACGAATCTATAGAGAAACAAAGATGCTAGTCAAGTAAGAGACAATTGTCCAGCTAGAGAAAAGGAAAGAAAGGTAAGCAGTATTATAAATACACAGTAGCTAGATCTTCTAGCAAGAAACTCTGAAAGATATATCTCTCATGGAGGGTTTATACACAGATGGTGTCAAATAATGCAATGGGTAATGCCCTACACATATGTTTATAGTAGGATGCAGAGGGGGTTCCCTGATCAAGGCTGAGGCAACAAGAGTGAAAAGTAAATCAATGACAGTGTCTCCAGAAGAGAACAAACTGGGGCATTGGTCAACTTTATCTAAAGACAGATGCTAAGGTAAACTGGTTGCCTCACTTAGGTTTCTAACAGAAGGTGGATGTTAGACACTTCAATAAGGTTGATGATGGTATGCTGGCATTTTATGCAGGTGTCAAAAGTGTCAAAAATCCACAGAAATTCAGCTAATGCTGCCTGTCCTTGAAAGCTATAGAAAAGCAGTCATTATTACCAAATAATGACGCCAGATGTCAAGGGAATGGCAGTAACAGTAGAGCAAGATGAGTTGGCATGGTCAGGATGAGTTTATTACATGAGACAGAATTTGATCTCAATGTTTTCCAGCTGATTTTATTTTAATTGGCCCTAGAAAACAACAAAACTATTTTAGCAAGTACTGCTTTCCAGCATTACCCATGTGGCAGTTACTTTTTGCATCACAGAAGGGGATCTACAGAGCATTAACATTTAATTGATTATTAGCCTTTTCTGGCAATTGCTTTCTATAATAAATATTTCCCCACAACAACATCAAGGAGTACACACTACCTTATGTTGTTAAGCCTGTTTCCCTAGCTGCTACCCAGTTGCATTCACAGAGGACCTTATGAAAAGTAGGACTGCAAACCTCCTAGCTTTATTCCAAGATGTTTAACAAGATGCAAGGGAAAAATAAAAAGAAGCAGATGGGGTGGATGAATGGGCAACTCCTATTTAAGAGAGTGCAAGAGAAAAAATTGGAGTTTGTCAAAATGAGGAAAATAAACAGAAGAAAAATCAGGAAGAAATAACCAAGAGCCTATCCCTAGATAGATGATTAGTTTATTCTGCTGAAGTGAAGTGTGGTTGAAAAAAATGGTTCATGGAGGCATAAATTATTCATGGTTAAAGACATCTCAGTCATTAAGATATTTACACCACGAGTGAAATCCTTGCATGCTGTGTTGATTTATGAGCTACATAATTACACGAGATACGCTGATGACTGTTTGCATGGGAAATACTGAGCCCTGCATTTCAATGAGTGCTACTCTTGATTAGAATTTCCTGGGAATGGCAGAGAGACCACATGGTAAAAGTACCTTTTAAAGACTTTTCAACTTACCCATTTATTAAAAAGTGGTACTTTGGTTCATGAATGCTTTTGTTTGCAAACAATTTGGCTTGCAAACAGAAGCATTTGACAAAATTTGGTTTTGAGAACTCTGCATCAAGTGTCATTTTTTCCAGAATTATGGAACAAATTAAGTTCATGAACCTAGGTACCACTGTAGTTTGATTAATGATATTCACGTAATGCTTCTAATAGTTTCAATCCTTTTCAGATAAGCAAAAATTTCAACAAATTTTGTAGTTTTTTAAAAAATTGTGATTTTTTTTTTTTTTTTTAGTTTTTTGAGACAGGGTCTCATTATGTAGCCTAGGCTAGCCTTGAACTCACTGT